TAAGCATCATCAACATCAACATCATACATAAGTTCACCCGCATGTGAATTACAACAAGTCTCGCAGGGTACGGAGACCTGCAACGACACCGACAGACATCCGAAAGCATCCGAAGGCACAATCAAAACCTTAGCACCTTCCGCACCTTCCGCGCCGTCCAGAAGGTGCGGAAGAATAAGGGCTGAGCAATCGCCTGCGACTCGAACCCCCGCTCCAACTTTTTCGGAGCCCCGAATCTCTGGGATGGCGGCGAGAGAGGGGGGAAGTGACAAGGAGAAGGCCTTCTCAGAAGGCGGCGGGACTTCTCAGCAGCCCTCGCGCATTCTGAGAAGTGTTGCGTCTTTGGGAAAGGCTCGGAACACTTCCCATGAGGCCAGGGGACTTCCGACCTCTCGCTTCCCCTCGCTCGCCGCCCGAGACAGCTCACCCGGCCTCCTCCCCTCTGGCTCTGGGGAGGCCACCGAAGAAATACCGCTGCTCCCCGGACCTCTCCCGGGGGTGCGCTCCTGGCATCGCTCGGACGTGTGCGTTTTTTCCTCGGCGAGGACCATCGAGGAGTATCCTTGATCATTTAGCGAAAAAACCACGCACGAAACCGCAACAAAAACACAGGAAATGGACGTCCGAGCGAGGGATGGGGCCGCGGCGGGGGCGCCTCCTCGCCCTCCTCCGAGGCCCGCCGCGCGGCGTGGCCGCCGCACTGCCCCCCCCCCTCGCTGGCCGCCGACCGGGGAAGCTCCCCAGAGTTGTGGATGCCATAGTTAGGGGGAAAACAAACCTACCTCGCTTTTGACCACCCTCGCTTCCAAGAGATACCAAACGATGCCAAATTGCAGCCTGTACTGGTCAGGCCGCTTGACAAGGAGGCGCGTGGTATGGCTTGGTCTTGCCTGGAAGCGAAAGCGGGGTAGGTAATTCACGCTCTGACTGGTACGAGGACCCATGTTGCATCACAGCATCAGTTCGGCCCCTGACTCTCGTCCTGGACTCGGTGTAGTGACGTGACGAATTTCGGGGTCCTTGCGTGGGAGACAGCATCGCTTCACTCATCTGGGGCCCCTGGGGCCTCTGTGGGCCCTGGGGCCCAAAATTAGTGATGTGATGGGTTTTCGGGCCTCGAACATGGCGATGGCCACCCTGGCAGCCCTGTCATTCCATGGAACCTGTGCTTAAAATGTTCGAAGCGTGCTTCTGAGATGTGCCACTCCTGTGCGCTACGTGGCTAGGACAGGTTTGAAACATTGTTTAGACATCTGGGAATCGTTTGGCAACACGCTTCCTCTCCATTGATTGTCGTCCACAGCCCTAGAGATGCCTCACCCGGCCATCGCTCGGACGTCCATTTCCTGTGTTTTTTTCGGTTTCGTGCGTGGCTTTTTCGCTAAATGATCAAGGATACTCCTCGATGGTCCTCGCCTAGGAAAAAACGCACACGTCCGAGCGATGCCAGGACTCCGGGAAGCTCCCCAACGCCGGACGGCCCCGCGGGGCACCCCGGGCGGCCCGCGAGAAAAAAAACACCCTCGGAGAGGGCGCCAGGACCCGCGCAGCCGCGAGGGGCCACGATGGGGCCCCGTGCTGATGAGAAGAAGGGCCCCTCTGGGCTCAGGAGGGAGAGGAGGAGGAGGAGGAGGAGGAGGAGGAGGAGGAGGAGGAGGAGGAGGAGGAGGTTTTTGGGCCGTTCCTCAGGTACAGATCGTGGAACCTTCGAAACAACAGCAAAAGCATAAACTTTTGGCGCTCCACGCGGAGTTCTTGGATCTGCGCTGGAACCGCCTCCCTGGTGCGCGTGCGCCAACGGCGGCGCCGGATGCGCCGCCGAGGGGCGCGCCAGAAGTTTATGTTTCTGTTTTGCCTTCGAGAGATAGACATGCAGTCATCCAGGCCTCGGAGAAAAAGAGCAAACACTCATGCCACATTTATCGGTCAACGCCCCCCCCCTCCCCCCCAAGTGTTCAAAAACTGGCGGCGGGTCTGATGAGTTGCGCTTCGACCGCAGTGTCCTCCGCGCGTGCCAACTGTGAAATTTTGGGGAAAGGGAAAAGAGTGTCCTTGAATTGCTTCCCTGTACAGTGGAGACCCACGCCAAGAAACACCCTGTTCGCCTCCAGGGCGCCCTGGGTTTCTCGGGCCTCGACGGCTTTGCAGTGGAAGGCGTGACGTACCCACACCAGAAATTGGTGGACGTCCTGGGGTCTCCGGGTTGAGTTTCTTGTGGAAAATTTCTTTTGGACTGGCCTTCGCTGCACCGTCGTGTTACCGTGAGGGAACGCCAGGGAGGAACGAAAGGGGGCTCTTCTGGCCACGGCGAGCCTCGGTCACGAAGAGGTTCCCCTACCCAGGTCCGAGGAATGGCTCGAAAACCAGTGCCTCTCATGAATCCAGGGCGGCCCTCACTTCAGCGTCTTAGCTGTAAAGTAAAGGCTCGGCCGCAAGAAACCTTCCACAAGAAGCCCAACCCTGAGACCCCAGGACGTCCGTCGCCTCCTGGCGTGGGGAACTCACGCCTTCCACAACAAAATCATCCAATTCAAGAAACCCAGGGCACCCTGGAGGCAAACAGGGTGTTTCTTGGCATGGGTCTCCACTGTATTTCAGCGTCTTGGCTGTTGGGGGGATGCATCGGCCTGAAATGGCCGATGCGTCGCCCATGTGTCGTCGATGCAGACCGCCCCGTGCATCGTCTGAGCACCGTCGGTATCGTCGATGCATCTGCGATGCTGGAAGAAAGAAAAACGGTATGAACATTGACTGGGCCAGTGCAGATCCAAGAAATCCGCGCGGAGCGCCAACAGTTTATATGTATGCCGTGTTTTCGGATCTGCGATGAATCAACCATTCGAGGTCGAGGCATCCACCCCGATGCCTAACCCCCCCCCTATCTTTGCATCCGAAGTCGCCCCCGCCACGGCCTCCTCGGGAGGGCACAAGCACAACCATCGCGCCCCCGACACGGTCCCCCGAGAAGGGTCAAAGTGGGCTCCAATGGGGCGCGAAGGAAGCCCCCAAGACGCCCTCCAGAGAACGCAGAGGGGGAGGAGGAAGAGGAGGAAAAGGAGAAGGAGGAGGCTGAGGAGGAGAAGGAGGAGGAGGAGGGAGATAATGATGATGATGATGGTGATGCTGATGATGCTGATGATGAGGATGATGATGATGAGGAGGAGGAGGAGGACAGGGGCGGAAGGAAAAGGGGGAAGGATAAGGGACGATGAGGGAGAAAGAAGCTGGCTGTGGGGAAGGATGAGGTGTTCAAGACCCGCCAGCTGAGGCGGGGCACTGACCTGGAGCGGACATTGAACTCAAGATCCTTCCTACCGCGCTGCCAAGCTGGTGGCCGGGATTGCCGGAGACAGCTGGACATCTTTGGGCGAAGAGCGCACTGCGACTACTTATTGCTGACTGCCCCGCGGCGGCGGCGACCGCCGATCCCGCAAATCTGTTTCGGCCTGGACAGCGGGCATAGACGACCGCTCTGTAAACAACCATCCAGGTCCGTGCCACGAGAATGGAAGGCTTTAGATCGACGCAGATCCAGCCGTTGTCTGCAACGTGCAAGGGAGACACGCGCCCTGAAACCAGCTCTTGGAGACAATCAGCGCGGCCGTATACTCTGCACGGTATGGTGCTGATCTACAGGCCGGTGCTTGCATTGGGCGCATGAAAAGTCTGCGTTCTGAGGGAGGGAGCGGAGCGGAAGGAAAACGATGGGGAGGATGGTTATGATGGTCATGGTTATGGGGGTGAGGATGCTGCTGATGATGATGATGAGGATTTTGATTATGGCGATGCTGATCGTCACGGTGATGATGATGGTGGTGATGATGATGATTACGATGCGGACGATGATGCTGATGGTTGCGATGATGATGCCGGTGCTGTTGATGCTGCGGGTGATGATGATGATGATCGTGATGCTGACGCTGATGCTGATGATGATGAAGATGAGTATGGTAACGATGATGCGTATGTTGGTGATGACGGAAGTGGTCCAAATGGTGATGCAGATGATTGCGATGCTTAGGCGAACTATGGTTATGCAGGTGATGATGATGACGGTGCTGATGATAATGATGATGGTGATGACGATGAGGTCGTGATGATCAGATGGCAATGGTGGTGATGATGAGGCTGACACGGAGAATGTGGTGACAAGGAGGAATGCACGGAGGCTGTTGTTGTTCCTCGCCGTCCAAAACCTTTTTTTTCCATGGAGGGAGGGAACAAAAAGAAGAACTCGTTACCCTCAGTCCTCCTCCACCTCCTCCATCGTCTCTTCATAGTCCGCGCCCTCGTGTTTCATCCTATCTCGTCTATCCTCCCCCATCCTCCGTCATCCTCCTCCTCATCCCCTTCATCCTCCTCTTCAGTCCTTCCCCTCCGCCCCGCCTCCGACTCACCTTCCTCATCCTCCTTTTCCGTCACCTCTTTCTCCCTGTCCACCTCCTCCTCCTCCTCCTCCTCCTCCTCCTCCTCCTCCTCCTCCTCCTCCTCCTCCTCCTCCTCCCTCCCCCTCCCCTCCTCCCTCCTCCTCCTCCCCTCCCGCTCTCCTCCTCCTCCTCCTCCTCCTCTCCTCCTCCTCCTCCTCCCTCCTCCTCCTCCTCCTCTTCCTCCCCCTGCCTCCTCCTCCTCCCCCTGCTCCTGCTCCTGCTCCTCCTCCTCCTCCTCCTCCTCCTCCTCCTCCTCCTCCTCTCCTCTCTCCTCCTCCTCCTCCTCCTCCTCCTCCTCTCCCAGCACCTCCTTCTCTCTCTTCTCTCTCTCTCTCTCTCTCTCTCTCTCTCTCTCTCTCTCTCTCTCTCTCTCTCTCTCTCTCTCTCTCTCTCTTTCTCTCCCCCCCCCTCGACTCGACATTGCGGCCAGGTTCAATCCTGGCCGCAGATATGGGGCGGGGCAAGCCCGCCGCCCCGCGACCCCCTGGAGCTAGGGACCGCGCGCCCCTGGCGGGGCCCGAGGGGAAAAGGGAAGAAAGAAGAGAAAAGAACGAGAAAAGACGCCAAACTCACCATGTGGAGCTCCATGAGCGCCACCGACCCGCCGATGGCGGGCGGCCCCCATGCCTCCCTGGCTCTACCCGCGCCACGGGGCACAGGTTACCTCGCGTCACCGTGCGGGGCACACGGCGCGTGTTACCCCCCACAGGCCCCCTTGCCCAAGGGGGGCCCAAGCGGTACACGTCTTGAGCCGTACTCTCCACGAGAGTCGACCCCTCTGGCCCTCTGGCCACACCCGACACCCCGACGTTAGGGGCGGGCCCCAACAGTGGCCAGAGCAAGCCCCCGCACAGGCTTGTACCACGCAGGCCGACGCAGACTGGAGAAGCAGTCCGCGCCAGCCCTGGGGGGTACCCACGCGGCCCCAGAACGCTGAGTCCCCAAGGAACTGGGACGGCAGAGCGACTCCTCGCGGGGACCACCCGGCAGTCGGGTGGCCGCCCCAGGCCCGCCAGGGCACCAGCGCCACTGGCCCGCCGCGCCGCCCCTGCGCAGGCGACGTCTTGGCGGATTTCAGTTCCCCGGGAGCCCCGACGTGCCGCCCACACGCCGAAGTGCCCTCCTGGGAGCCCTCCTCCCCCTCCTCCCCCTCCTCCCCTCCCTCCTCCCCCTCCTCCCCCTCCTCCTCCCTCCCCTCTCCCTCTCCTCCTCCTCCGTCCTCCTCCCCTCCTCGTCCTCCTGCTCCTCCTCCTCCTCCTCATCCTCCTCCTCCTCCTCCGCCTCCTCCTGCGCCTCCCCCTCCTCCTCCTCCTCATCCTCCTCCTCCTCCTGCTCTCCCTCCTCCTCCTCACGGGGGTAGGCCCGAGCCTCTTCGGCGCGGGGCAGCCACGCACGATTCCTCGCCCAAGCCCCGCCAATCAATGCGCACCCAACTCTCGGGCGCGCGCACCGGCATCGTTCCCCCCGCACTCCGTACGGACATGGCTGGCACTCACTGGGCGTCGGGCTGCCAACACCCTGAAGGGCTGGCCAGTGAAAGCCGCGAAGGACGGGCCGCAGAGGCAAAGCCGCAAAGGGTACCCTAGGGACATTCGCGCGTCCATTAGTCTGAGTCACACCAGCACTCTTGCGGGGCCGGTCGCGAACGGTCGGAGCGTCCAAGATGGCCAAAGACGGCTCCACGGGGGCCTCGGAGAGCCCAAGATGACCTCCAAGATGGCTTTAGATAGCCCAAGATGCCTCAAGATGGCTTCCAAGATGCTCCAACAAGCCCCAAGAACGCTCCAAGACGGCTCCAAGTGGCCAAAGAGCTCCCCAAGGAGGCCCCGAAGAGGTCAACATCTTTCCCAAACCGAAGCAAAATCAATGTTTGTTGTTTTCTCGCCGCTTTGCTCCCGATGGCCATCCGAGGCCTCAAGATGGCTCCAAGATGGCCCAAGAGGGCCCCAGGAGAGGCCCAAGAGAGCCCCAAAACGGCCCCACGAGCGCCCAAGAGCGCTCCAAGATGGGCCCAAGAGGTGATTTTGGAGGCTCCCGAGGGGGGCGCTAACTGGAGCTACCCTCTTGTTTGATCGATCTCTTCCAAAATGGCCCCAAGAGGCGCCCAGGAGGCCCCAGGAGGCCCCAAGATGGCCCCAGGATGGCCCCAAGATGGCCCCAAGAGGCCCCCAGGAGGCCCCCCAGAGGACCCCAACCGGCCCCAAGAGGCCCCCCGAGGCACCCAAGACGCCCGAGAGCTCCCCAGGACCGCCGAGAGACGCCCAAGACGCCCAAAGAGGCCTCCAAGAAGCGCCCAAGAGATATCCCAAGAGGCTCCGAGAGGCATCCTAGAGACCTCTGCCCCTTCTGCTTGCCCTCCTCCTCCTGCTGCTCCTCCTTCCTCCTCCTCCTCCTCCTCCTCCTCCTCCTCCTCCTCCTCCTCCTCCTCCTCCCCCTCATCATCCTATTCGTCTTCCTTCTCACCACTCCCTCTTCCATCCATCCAGCCTCCTCCTCCTCCTCCCTCCTTCGCACTTTTCGGCCGTCCACCTATTTGCTCCCGCGGATCGCCTCCACTCGCCTGGACATCGCTTCTGGATGGGCTGGTGGGGATGCTTTTTGGATTCGCGGCCCGCAAGGAAAAGTCCAGAGGGCGGTAAGAACGAGGCTGGGACACAGCGCGCGGGAACGCAGATAATTAACAGCGCAGCACAAGTGCCGGCCAAGAAGCAGCTGAACATGTGCCAGCAGCAGAGAATAAACAACGCTGAGCTGGTGGGGATGCGCGAAGCGTCTAGAACTTTGACTGTACTCCGCACGGACTCGGCATTCTTCGAGCGTGGCGCCGACGCGTCCGCCGCCGGCGCGGCCAGGCCCGTCGGCGGCGCCGCGGCAGGATCGAGGCACGAAGCTGCTGTACTTTCTTGTGGGCGGCGCCTAATCGACGGCCACACGAGGGGGCCCAATGGGATGCACAGAGACATACCAATACTACATGTTCTCCTTGAAGGCGCGAGTCCGACTCGAGCATATAGTATACCCGCCTTGTAGTAGATCGTTTCCCGAGCGGCGTGGCCAGAAAGCGTCCGCCAAG